AATAGATACCGGTGGAGAGGATCCGAGCAGAGGCCGCACGATTCTAGTAGCACCTACGAGTCTGCAGCACCACCAGGAACACCAGGAAGCAGTTCATATCAAGACTCGATGGAGCAGCGGTTGAAAACAATTGAAGATTGACAGTCGTAACAAACAACATATCAGCGGATTGCGGAGGAAGAACGAAGGCGTCGGGAGTAGCAAGAATTTGAGTTCACACAATTCATGTCGACTCAGTCTCAGGAGGCTCAGGAGGCATATAGGAGACGATTTATGACAGACCAGGTAATATATATACTTTACTTTTTTAAATTAAATGAATTAAATATATATAATTCTTACTTAGTTATGAATATGCCATGTGACTAAATGATGTCACACACATCGATACACACTGTTACACACAAACCCTAACTCTAACCCTAACACAAAGCACAAAATATATATGTATAATATTTTTATGTGATGGTGGTGTTGATGGTGCGTGCGTGCGTAGTGATGGTGATATTGGTTAGTTGGTTGTGGTTATGTTGTTGTGGTGCGTGCGTGCGTATGGTTGGTTATGTAATCGGTTGGTGGGTGGTTTGGTCGTGGTGGGGGAGGGGAAGGAGTGGGGATTTGTTGTTGGTGGTGGTGATGTAGGGGGAGGGGGTGTGGGTGGGGGCTTTGGTCGTGGTTGAGGAGGGGGAGGAGTGAGGATTTGGTGCGTGTACGCGTGCATGTGTGCATATACGCGTGCATGCATGTACGCATGTGTGCATGTGTGTACGCGTGTACGCGTGCGTGTGTATATGCGTGCATGCGTGCATGTACGTGTGCATGCGCATATGGTGAGAAAATTGCGGGTGAGGTTAGGGTGTGTGCATGCATTGTTGCAAAAATTGTGCGTGCGTGCATATAATACATAAGAATATGTCATGATACTCTCTCCGAAACATATAATACATAAGAATATGCCATGATACTCTCTCTTATTGCTATACTTGCATGTCATGCCATGTGGTTAATGTTTGATTTATATTTGTAGGCCGAGACTTCTAGACAAGGTGGAGCTGGTGATGAGGATGATGATGATGATCAGGAGGACTGATTTATTTTTTTACCTTTGAAAACAATGAATGAGTGTGTGCTGTATAAACAATATTTATCATGGTGTGTGCTGTATAAACAATGTTTATTATGTTGGGATATTTTTATTAAAATATATGTGTTATATATGCATGGGAATGAATATTATACTACTGATTGAACATGATTTTAAATTTATTATATTATTGTACAGGGTTTTTCAATTTTTAAAATATTTTTTAAAAAAATATTGGCAATATTTAGTCAAAGATTAGTCGTCTCTATATACACTTTTAGCGACAGAAATAAGATACGGGGACATTATAATAGCGACGTATTTTTCGTCGCTAATGTTAATGGCGACGAAAATTCCGTCGCTATTGTTTTTTCTTTTTTTAAAATTGTTATAGCGATGGATTTTCTGTTGCTCATTTTTGTCGCTATTATTTTTAGCGATGAAAAATCCGTCAATAATATTTTTTTTAAATAGAGCGACGGATTATCCGTCGCTAATTTTTCGTCGGTGAAATTTAGCGATGGAAAATCCGTCGCTAAAAGTAATTTTATCTACCCTCAATGTACGGATGGTATTTTGGCAACGAAAATTTATTTTTTCCGTCGCTAAAAATTTTAGCAATGGATTTTTAACTTTTAGCGATGGATTTGTCCGTCGCTAAAAGTCCTGTTTCTAGTAGTGTGTTTAATTGTCATTATTCCTGCGATTATGGGCGTAATTCTTGCTTGTAACTGCTTCCCCCACGTTCATAGGTGTTCCAGTAGTTAATAAGCCATGTGGACCTCATGAAACTTAAGAAAAATATTAGAAAACATGTTGTTAGTTTCTCAGTGTGCGAGATAGTTACAACTGTCTCGCACTTCCGAGATAGTTTGTGCTGTCATGAGTATTTTGGCTCTAATTCCCTCGTTTGATCTCGGAATAAGGTGATCCAAGATGCATTGGAAATCTGGTGAAGAGGCCTATAACTTTTATCTTTTAATCTTTTTTAAATTCGATCCGAATCATGATCAAAATTTTAGTTTTTGTTTTGTAGTTTCTGTGACAGTTGCATGTGTCTCAGAAAATATGTATTGTATTTTGTATCTAACTCTATCGTTCGATCTCGGAATAAGGTGATCCAAGATGCGTTGGAAATCTGGTGAAGAGATATACAACTTTTATTTTTTGAGATTTTTCAGATTTGATGCGAATCATGGTCAAAATATTAGTTCTTGTCTTATAGTTTCCAAGATAGTTGCATGTGTCTCGAAAACTATGTGTTGTATTTTATCTCTAAATCTCTCATCCGATCTCAGAATAAGGTGATTCAAGATGTGTTAGAAATCTAACGAAGAGATCTACAACTTTTGTATTTTGAGATTCTTCATATTTAAATCGCATCATGGTTGAAATGTGCGATACATCTTATAGTTTCCGAGACAGTTGCATGTGTCTCGAAAACTTATGTGATGTCTGCATTGTTGTTTTGCCTCTAATTCCCTTGTCTGATCTCGGAATGAGGTGATCTAAGATGCATTGAAAAGCTCACGAGGAGCCCTACAACCTCCCATAGGCGAGACACTTATGAAGTGGGCGAGACACACATGGTATTTCGCCCTTTGTGGGCAAAACACAACTCTCGACTGAGTTGTTCCTTCTTTGTTTAGTGTGTTGCATAGACTCGTACGCTTCGCCGACTTATTTCATGTGCTTTTTAGCTCCTCTACAGTATCGCATGATCTCCTTTGATTTAGATAATCCTTCTTGACTCGGATAATGACATTCATCGTCTTTTCTCCATCTCAAGCTGCGTTCAGGGACCTATAGACAAAATTTATTTATGTCCTATAGACAAAATTTATTTATGCCTACAATGGCGTGCAAAGAAAGATACACTTTTTAATTTTGTTTGTTTTGATTTATCTTCAGTACCTAGACACACGCTTTGGTTAGATTCCGCAGCTACAACTAGCGTCAGTATGTCTATGCAGGGTTGCCTGAGCTACTGAAAGTCAAGTGATGGTGAAATATACATTTATGTGGGCGATGGCAAGAAGGTTGAAATTGAGACAATTGGGACATTTAAGTTATTGTTAAAGTCCGGTTGTTATTTAGATTTAAAAGAGACTTATGTAGTATCGTCATTTAGACGAAATCTGATTTCTATTTCTATATTGAACAAATTGGTTACTTTTATTCTTTTAGAAATGACAAATTTAGTTTTTTTCAGAATTCAAATTTAGTTAGTACTGATTCCTTATCTTATGCTGATAACTTTTATTTGCTTGATACGGTTGCTTCATATCATGAAACCTTGCCATTAAGCACTCAAGGTGTAAATAGAAAATTGACCAATGAGAGTTTTGCATTGTTATGACCCAAGAGATTAGGTCACATCTCTAAAAGGAGAATTGAGAGACTTGTGTCAGACGGGATTTTAGATCCCCTTGATTTTATTAACTTTAAAATTTGTACTAATTGCGTAAAAGGGAAATAAATAAACATAAGGAGATTTAGTGCCAACAGGGCTATAGACGTCTTAGAACTGATACATACAGATATTTGTGGGTCATTCCATATAGTCTCTTAGAATGATCAATAATATTATATTACATTTATAGATGATTTTTTGCGTTATGGCTACTTTATCTCATACATGAAAAGTCCCAATCACTGGACGTGTTCAAAGCTTACAAAGCTGAAGTTGAGAACCAACTCAACAAAAGTATCAAAAACATCAAATCTAACCGTAGTAGTGAGTATTACGGCAGGTATGACGGTTCAGGTGAATAACGTTCGGGGCCATCTGCTAAATTCCTAGAGGAGTGCGGTATCGTCCCACAGTACACCATGCCTGGTTCTCCTATCATGAATGATGTTGTCGAAAGACGAAATAGAACACTCAAGGACATGATAAGAAGTATGATTAGTCATTCTAACTTATCAGAATCTCTCTATAGAGAAGCATTAAAGACTGTAGCTTGCATACTTAATAGAGTACCCACAAAAGCAATTGACAAAATTCCTTATGAACTTAGGATTGGCAAAAAAATCTAGTTTGAAGCATTTGCACATTTACGGATGTCCAGTGTAGGTTAGGAAAATTTATCTGTTTTCAAGAGCAGCCATGTGTGAGGGACATGATTCTAGATGCCCTTGTTGACTTATTCAGGTCATGATTCTAGAAAAGAAAAAACTTTTCAGAAAACGACGAACAGACAGAAGTCACAGAACCACAGCATACTTTTTTCTAACGACGATCCGGCCCCAAAGAACATTCTCCAAGGTACATTTTCATATTCTCTATCAAAAGTTAAATTTTTTATTTTGTTATTTTTTCGTGGGATAAGGCTCAAGTATACATGCAGTGGATCATGGCATGCGAAAGGGACCCTGAATATAAATTAGTACCGAGCGGTGGCATTCTACGACCAATTAACAGATCAAAGCGTTTCTATAATTAAATGGCCAAAGTCAAATCAATTATGAATCATCATCACAGGGACTGATTGCTTTGCCGACTGTTCTATACCAATTTTGTTTCCTGAAATAGATACGGAAGAGAATTTGCGTGAATGAAAAAAAGAAAAAAAAAAGTAAAAATTGTTTGCACACAAATTTTGCAGATTCTTACCACTCCGTCTAAAAAGGATAGAAATTTTGCGAATCACCCTTGGACCTTGGTTCATCTACCGAACGTCATGAATACGAAAAATGTGAACCGAAAGCTACATTTGATAAAATACTCTTAATGCATAATTAAAAAAAAAAAAAAAAAACCCAACCAAATTCATGAACCATGTCCTCACAACGAGCACTCGCTGTCGGTGAGCAACGCATAATCAACCACCGGTAGGCTTAAGATTCCCTGACAGCGCCTCATTGACCAGCACGTGACCGACAGCTGTACTTCCTGAGGACCTCCAGAGACGGGAGCATGAGATCCTGTCACCGCCTTTTGGGGGTAACCAGACCCCGCCCCTCCTCTCTAGAATTTTCCCCACCATCTTCTGCCCTCTTCGGATCCTCCCCGTTGACCGCTAGCCCGTAAGTGATCCTGTCCTCCTCATCTAATTACAACTTCTCCTCCTTTTTGAGTCGATTTATTCGATTATTATGGGTTTTTGTTGTTACGAGGTGATTAATTGACTGCTTCGGTTAGGTAATTTTAGGGCAAGATTTTGCTATGATCGATCGACTAGCTGTGGATTTGTGTTTCCACAGTTTCAATTATTTAGTTTGTGATCTTTCTTTAAAATTATTTACTTATTTTAGTGAGATAGGAGGAAAGGAAACTTCTTTACGATGTCTGTTATTCTACTGTAATTATTGCTTTTTTTAGCGTACGAGGTTACTCATAAAAAGGTGACTTTAAAAAAAAAAAAAATCTTTAACGAATGGTTATTTTTAAAAGAAATAACGTACACGACCGCAACCTTGGGCTTACCTGTAACTGATTCATAACTTGCTTCGGAGGTCGATCTTTGTCTTGTCTTGCTTTAGCTCGACTCGAGCATGAGGATAAACCTAAAAATGGGTGTCTGTTTGCTACTTATAAGCAGTCATTGTTAGCCTTTAGGATGAAATCAACATAGTGTTTCCTTTGAGGAGGATGTTACCGATAAAATTTACCGAGGATGTTTAAAGTGAAGTGAGCTTCGAATGCTAGTAAATTTTGTAGGAACATTTATTATTATTATTATTATTATACAACATCTACATGGCAACCCATTCTTTAGTTTCCAAGACTTTGGTAATTGTGAAAGAAAATAGCTATAATGGTTGTAATTGATTTGAAAATGTTGAAATGGATGAGCAGTGGACGGTTTAATCATAGTACCATAAATGTACACACTCATTAAAAAAAATAAAAATGGGTGTGGTTTTAATTAAGAAGAAACTATAGGTAGAATGAGCTCAGACGGTCTGTATATGCAATGGAGACTGTTAAGTGTACATGCTATTAGGAGACCGATAGGACATTGTTGAAATAGCAAGTAATGTAGATTGAACTACATAAATACGGATCGAGACATATAGCAGGATATATGGTTGAGAACTGACATAATAAGATGCTTCTCCTTTCCATGTGGAATGCATGAAAGCCTGATCTTTTAAAGATGCATCGCGTTACTGACAATGTTCAAGCCCAGGATCTTTTACAACTTAGTGCTCTGATATCATATCATATCATACACACTATACCAATAACATTTCCCATGAGTATGTTGTCCATTGTAGAGAGTGCTTCTTGGAAAACATTTATTACTTATTTATGTTTGATTAACTGAAATACATCGTGAGGCCACTTTTGTTGTTGTTGCTGTTGTTGTGATGCCTTCTTTCAATTTACAGCATGTAATGATACTTCTGTGCACGTATTGATATAACCTTTCTCTAACTATCCTTGGAAATCATTTACTCCTAATTTTCAATTAGTATTTTATACTTTTTATTCCATGCATACACTACCTTGTTATTTTGGTTCGTGTGCTTCATGCTTTTCAAATTGCTATTCGTTGACATCATTTGTACTTTAATCTCCAATTGATGATTAACTTTTATGGACCTGAATCTTCCATTTTTTTTATTTCAGTTTTTTATATTAAAAGAATGCTTCTCACTTAAAACATATATATATTCTAGGAGGAAAAATGGCTAGCAAAAGAATTCAGAAGGAGCTTCAAGATTTGCAGAGAGATCCTCCGACGTCATGCAGTGCTGGACCTACGGGGGAGGATCTATTCCACTGGCAGGCAACTATAATGGGCCCTGGAGACAGCCCTTATGCTGGAGGGGTGTTCTTTATTATGATCCATTTCCCTCCTGATTACCCTTTTAAGCCTCCCAAGGTCAGCTTCCAGACAAAGGTAAAAGGCTCAATCGCATACTTTATACCTTTAACTTGTCTAGCTGATAGGATTATCAATTATGGAACTACAAATCATTGTGATTTGTAAACTGGCTTCATATGCTTATAAAAATTAAGATACATTGGGTGATAGATAGCGTTCAGGCACGTGCTAGTATTGCCAACACCTGCTAGCGTTCAAGCACAATTAATTAGCAATCATGATCTTCTATGGTAGGGACCTCTTGTCATTTAAATTTAAGTTCTGCCTTTTAATATTATATTGAATTTTATAGTTTGCACTTGACATGCTCTCGGTGTTTTTCACGTTGGGTTTAACTCATACTGAACTATCCTATTGTCAGTTTGAACTTTAGTCTTATGGGCCAATATAATGAATCAGATAAATGCTATGGTAGTTGGATGTATCTTAGCAAATTGGTTAAATTATCTCAGCATATAAGCGAAAAAAGGTGGCTGTAAATTAGCCAATTTGGGCTTGATGCACAGGCATATCATGTTACATGGGCTATGCTTGTGCAGACTTCTTAGAAGTATCTTCTGAATACAACTTTGATAGAGTTGGAAAGAAATCTTTAATACAATTTCTCCATTAGTTTCCCACTTACCTTAACTAATTGAGATCTCGGCAGTATTTGTTTCTTATTTTCTGATGTCTTAAGACCACCCCATGTTGCACTAGTTTATACATAAATTGGAAAATTTCACTGGCTGGTAACTGCTATAGTTGGTATATGGCCACTATCTTCTTTTATTTTTGTTATAAATTTCTCATTATTAATTTCTTGCCTCATCAATATTCTGTCCTGGAATGGTGCCTGAAGAGGCGAATTCTAGAGACAACCTCACGGAGATATCTTAGATTATTAATTATCATTAAAGATACTTGTCACAATCATAAAAAATGCGCTGGCCCTTTATCTATAGGAATCTTACATTGTTACTTTTTGGCATCGGATTTGAAGGAAGACTCACTCCTGAAAGCTTGTTATCCAGCCTCAGCTAGTATTACCCAATTATGATGAAGTTCAAGTTAATACTAAACCCAATCTCCAGAATTTTTTCACCCTTCTATGTTTTGTTCTGGATATGTGCACCCATATGTACTTTCTTTGGTTGATGATCTGGCTACATCTTGTCCTTGATTTGATATCATTAACCGATGACCGAATGAACTTGGCTCAAGAAGACAGTTCCCTTTTTCTTAATGGAGGTTGTGAGTTCTAAACTCCCCAGGTCTAGTTACAAAGGAAGCTATTTGTTTCTTACTGCAAGCTTCTTTTCTCCAACATTAGTGTTTTGTTTACTGGCTCACTGAAATATGGAAAGAGATAGCATTAACCGGTGATATTATTCATTTATTTATTTAGTAGGATGTATACTTGCCCCTCTAAACTTAACCTAATAGAAGATGTGAGATAATTTCTTCCATCAATTGTGTGCTGATATCAGGTTTATTGAGCTAAGAAAAGATTGATGAGAAGAGAAACCTCCTAACCTGAACTTAGATTTTGAAAACCAGTAGCATTACCTGTCCATTTCTTTCATACAGCATAAGAGAATTCGTTTTCAGTTTAGAATCAAGTGGAAGCAATGTCCGCTAAAAGGAGCCTTGATCGACTATATGATACACGATAGCACCAGTTTTCCATTCCTCAACAAGAAGACGGATTCGTGAACAGTAGACGTCTTTTTTCCCTCTCAGTCATATGATAATGGACTTGTATTTAGATGAGCTCGACCGAGCTTTCGAAGTGAGTAGTTTGAATTGGAATCGTAATCAACTGAAAGATGCACGCTTTATCGACGAAGGTTTGATTGGAATCTAAAATAAAAGGGTGAGACGAAGATACTCACGTATTTCTACCTCAAATGCTGTTTACAGAAAAACCCTCCCCAGAGCCCACAATGGTGGGAGCCTCGTGCACAGGGCTACCCTTATGCTGTTTACAAAAAAAACGTTCATGTGTTCTTTTAGTTGACTCTTCTGTTTGACTGACAATCAACCCTGTTTCTTTCTAGATGCATTTGAAGATATGTTCTTCCTTTGTATTCATTATTGTTTTTTGTGAGCTTATGGGGCTGGGATGGAAGTTGAAGAAACCAATTTTGTTCTCCAAATATATTCCATGGTTGCTCGATGGACTTTGATACTGTTCTTGAAGGGATGATGGATGTGAATGCTTATGAATCATATCCTCCTTGTGATTTTTACATTCTTAACTTCATCATAGCAATTAAATATCTGCTACCTTTTCCTTTTCAACTCTTAAGTCCTCAAAAGTATATACACGTGGACTGGACATCAGAGCTAAAATATATAGGCATTCACCAGAAAAGAGAGGTAAACCTGTTTTTATTTATTTCTTTTTATTGTATCATTTATTTGAAAAGACCTCATGAACTGGGAACAATACTAGGCTATTAGGTTTAACTCATAGAGACTAACATGATAAACAGATCGAGAGCTGCCAATTCTTTTTTGGTGCTGCTAATAAAGCTTAATCGATTGATGTCAAGCTCAAACACTTGTGAAACTTTTAAGCGATGAGTTTGAAATGAACCTAGTGAAGGAAAGTAAGTATACAAGGAAAGTACTTATAAGCAATCAGGGAGGAAAGTCAGTGAATTGAAAGGTCGTTTACGATACAGAATATAAATCTGTTTCGGAGATAAAGGCTCTAATAGAAGTGTTATTCTCTATAAAATCTTGATCTGAAGGCAATATTCTCAAGTCGGTGAAGCCTAGGAGACATCTAAAAGAATATGGTGGCCTCAACAGAACTATGTCCACTACAATTCAGTGAGTTATCTTGATTCCCCTTAGATTATGAGCTGGTGAAGTTGGATGGTTGTTTCATCGTATCTTTTCATACTGTTGTAAATAGAAGCTGAGACTAGTCATTAATATCTTGTATCTTTCATAATATGAAATAATAATACATTACAAGAATGCTCATAAATTGCTTCCACAACTGCATCATCTTTTAGCGAAGAAACAAATGCACATTCTTGATGTGGAGAAGGATGACTTGCTTTATATGCTTCAATGCAGGTTTACCACCCAAATATCAACTCAAATGGCAGCATATGCCTTGATATCCTGAAGGAGCAATGGAGCCCAGCTCTGACAATATCCAAGGTTCTCCTTTCCATCTGCTCTCTTCTCACTGATCCAAATCCAGACGACCCTCTTGTTCCTGAGATCGCTCACATCTACAAGAACCAGAGGACTCGATACGAGGAAACAGCCAGAGCCTGGACCCAGAAATATGCCATGGGCTAACAACTGAAAAGAGCCACGTCAAAGTGGCACAATGTGTAAATTATACAACTTAAAATTCTCATATTTTACTTTGAAGTGCATGGTTTGTTCTCTTTGAACACAATCACCAGTGTTCAACACTACTGTATCCGTGTTGTTTTGCTGTGCTTGCTTTAACTGAGTGGGCTTTTTGTATTTTGTATTTTGATGACATGCGGGCTTCTTTATGTTATGAAATTTTATGTTCTTGTTTTCCTATTGAATAAAAGAAATGCTAGGGGCACACCCCAAACCACACCACCAACCACACTCTCCTCTCTCATTTGCTACAGTACACAGGGCCCCACATGGGATTTTAAAATTTTAAAATCCCATGTGGGGCCCCGTGTACTGTAGCAAATGAGAGAGGAGAGTGTGGTTGGTGGTGTGATTTGGGGTGTGCCTCTATCACCACTCATTGAATAAAGGCTAAACATGAAGCACATTTCCCCCTTTGTTCCTTCATCCTTGACGTGCATTTATGCTCATAACCCATTGACGCTTGCTTTAATTTCTCTCTTGAGAAGGCATCTTTCATGTTTTGATCCAAATAGATCCTTACTGTGAATCTTTGGAGATTCTTCTTCATCAGTACCTTTTAGATTCTACATATGAGAGAGGCCTTTCTCCACTTTTGAGCATCTTTGATGGGAGTTGATAAGTTAAACAATAACCTTTATACCTGAGTGCTCAATTCGTAGACGATGCATGCCTAGTCACAGATATTTGGATTTTCTTCTTATGTAGCTCAAACTATCCGCATTTAGACAAGTACTTGCGTTTTTTTCCTTTCCTTTTTTTGCTTTTTCTACCACTGCATTCACATCAATAAAGGTTCATCTCCCCTCCTGATTCTATATTGCTGTATTCATCTCTTATTCACCAAATAACCGTAAGATTCGCTATTTATTTATCAACATCGTGCATTTATAAGGAGGCTCTCTCAGTTAAATCTAATTTTCTCTCACTGTACTTCAAAGAAAAGTGACTATGAAGAGCTTCAGGTGTGTCACATTTTGCTTCTGTTTAATCTATTCAAGTTTTTGTGCTTGGTGGACTTACTAAATCGTGTAATTTCGCTGCCTTGTACATAATTTTTCCTTTTTTTTTCCTTTTCCTATTTTAGTTTATTGTATATCAATGCATGAAAAATGTTGATCCTAGTACAAAAATGTTGCTGAGGCACAGTTTTACTAGAAGTTCCATTAAGGTTACTGTTGGATAGCAGGTTCCTAATATGTTTCCTAATTTGTTTTGGTAATAGGTTATTGGGATTCCTAATCTGTTTTTGTAACATAATTCCAAATCTGTTTTGGTAACATGTTATTAGGATTCCTAATCTGTTTTGTTTTTTATTTTAGAATTCCTAGTATGTTTATGATTTTAGGATTTCTATATATATGGAACAATTGGAAGAGAGAATTGAGAAGAAAATTAGGGATATTTGGAGCACAGAAAAAATGTATTTTCTGAGCTATTGGTTAGGGTTTTGTTTGGAGAGAATTAGAGATTTGTTGGTGAGATTAATTGGTGAGTTTGAGTGATTTGTAATCTCAATTTATACTCTTCTTCTCTATTAGTGAAAAACCCTATCCTCTTCTTGCTCCGTGGACGTAGGCAACTTGTCGAACCACGTTAAAATTGGTTGTTTGTGTTTGTAGCATTGATTTGGTTTGTTTGGCCTTCTCTCGACGTTTGTTTGATTTGATTTCTCGTAGCACGTTGGTTTGGTTGTTTGGCTTCCGCAGCGCTCAACAAGTGGTATCAGAGCTCAGGCTACGCTTGGACTATTTGGAGGAGTAGGTCGTTTTGGAGGCTCGTCTAGGGCTTCGTTTGGTGATAAATGTGAGATCTTTTTGATAAAGACTATCTTTTTTAGTTTTAGATCTATTCTTTATTTGTTCCGTATTTGTTTTGGTGCTTTGAGAAAGATGGTCGGGAAAGAAGGAGTTGTGGAGGGTACTTCCGACATGAAGACTGTCCAAAATTTGAATATCCACTCTATGAAGATAGATGTGGAGAAGTTTAATGGCACAAATAATTTTGGTCTTTGGAGATGTGAAGTCTTGGATGCGCTCAATGCGCAAAATTTGAAAGATACTTTGGACTTGGACGGGAAACCGGACGACATTGAGGAGAAGGTTTGGAAAAAAATGAATAGAATGGTGGTGTGGTGTGATTAGATCTTGTTTGACTCAAGATTTAAAATATGATGTGATCAATGAGAATTCGGCTAAGAAGATTTGAAAGATCCTAGAGGGCAAGTATTTGACCAAGAGTGTAGAGAACCGCTTGCATTTGAAAAGGAAACTTTATCACTTCTAATTGAAGAAAGAGACCTCTATTGGTGATCACATGAACCACTACACAAAGCTTCTTACGGATTTGACGAACGTAGATGTGATGATTGAAGATGAGAACAAGACATTGTTGCTGTTGAGTTCCTTGCCTGACGAGGAATATGAGACCTTCGTTCTTACTCTTATTAATGAGAATGCATCTCTTTCTTATAATGTGGTCACCGCTGCACTTGTGAATTATCAGCTTCGAAAGAAGGATAATGAGACTTCAGTTGAGCCGGTAGCGGGGGCATTGGTCGCAAGAACAAAGAGTCCAAACCGTGGTAGGAGGTCACAGTCTAGAGGGGCACATCTTGAAGTTTGTAGGAATCAGTGTGTCTTTTGTAAAGAGGATGAATATTGGAAAGCCGAATGCCCAAAGTTGGTTGATCGAGCCGGGAAGAATAAGGGAAAAACTATTCAAGCTTCAGAGGTGAATGTTGTCAAGACTGGTGATAATAATTCAGATTCGGATTCTTCGGGCTACTCGTTATCTGCACTACCGTCAGTTTGTGTTACCGACTCTACAGAGTGGATGTTGGATTCGAGTGCTTCTTCCCATATTTGTCCTAGGAGGGATTGATTCTTCAGCTTCCAGGAGTTGGAAAGAGGGGAGGTCGTGCTCATGGGTAATGATCATGAATGTCCTATTGGTGGTATCGGTACCGTTCGGATTAGGATGAGTGACGGAGTGATTCGGGAGTTGATTGGAGTGATGTTCGTTCCTCAGTTGAAGAAGAACATCATTTTACTTAGAGTTTTGGTGATAGCAGGATATAGGGTGACCTTGATCGATTCAAGTTTGAAGGTCACATTGGGGTCCATGATTGTGATGAAGGGCGTCAGGAGGAATAATTTGTATTATTTGATTGGGAAGACGATGTTTGATAGAGAACTGACGACTTCTTTTGATTTGGCTAGACTGTGGTATTTGTTGAGGCTGAGTTATTTGATTGATTATGTCATGCATGGTTTGTTGAGGAGTGTTTTGACCTGCAGATTAAAGTCTTTTGAGCACATTGGTGTAAGCAAAAAGACCGAGGTGGAGTTTGGCATTTCTATTCATCGATCGATGGGTCTTTTAGGTGGTGTTCAGTCAGACATTTGGGGGCCTTTCAAGGAGGCATCATTAGGGGTAATCGATATTTGGTTTCCGTAGTTAGGGATTGTTCTAGGCATTGGTGGGTTGCAACCAGGTCCCGTTGGTGTGAAGTCTTAGAAGTCAATAACAATTAGAAAAAGTGTATTGGTAGAAAGGTAACCCGTCGTTCTAGTTTTGATAGGGGTTCTTTCTTGCATTTGTGTCGAGTTCATGGTAGTTTGAGACACTTCATTGATGTGGAGACATTCGGGCGACGAGATGAGATGCCAGTTTTGATGGCCCATTCCTTACTGGAGGGGGATCGGCGTTGGTTGTCGAGCATTGGTTTTGGTTTTGAAACTTCGACATATTTGGGTCATCTTGGTCATAGGTTGCCGACTGCTGCCTGTGGAGATTTTGGATCTGGTGTGTTAGATCCTAGAGGGGTGATTAGGGTCTTATGCTAATCTAATCCGATTTTATGCCAATTAAAAACTTATTAACAAATTATTCTTACAAAATAGATATACAATGTGATATAAGTAAGGATATACAACTTAACACAAGGGTGAAATAGACATAAACAAAACAAGAGTGATAGTGTACAAATAAACAATGCAAACACACAATATGATCACGGAGTTCGGACCTTTCGTCCTACGTCTCCGCTCCCCACTCCCGGGGAGAAATCCACTATCACAACCGGGTTTTCTACGCTTACCTGAATAACATTTACACCTCACACTCGGTTTTTTAGCTAACCGAAAACTTTACAATCAACACTCTTGCAATCCCACTCTACACCCACTAAGTGTTGGAACTAGACGTGTCTCCCTCAAGTGCTCGGATACAACCTCTCCCTAGGTTCGTCAACCGACGCAACTCCTCTTGGGACGATCCCCGACTCTCGCCACACACTTCTCTCGGTGTACAAGTGGATTACAAAGTGAACCTCACAATAAGCACAATTACAGTAATTGATGTTCTCTTCAATTGATGAGAACTTAATGAATCCCAATATCACTAAATCACACACTACTATACAATAATATATTGTATGAAACACTATAAGCTCAAATGTGGATACGTGTGATAAAAGAGAATAAATGAAATCTAACTCAATCAACAAACTAGCAATAATAATGTATAAATAATCAAGGACAAATTGCTAGAGAATAGAGTTAGAAAACTTCTCTATAAAACACAAGAGAGGCTGAAGAAGATTGAGGATGGATTCCTCAATTTGAAGAGCAAGCCACCTCTTGTTAAACCAAACTAAAACTCTTAAACAAACTTTGATAATCTTTTAAACTTTTGTTAAAAACACATGAAAAACTGCATTTGCTGAAGAAGACATTGGGGGGTTTATATAGGAAGAGAAAACAGTGCACAAAACCCAATGAAGACCAGCAAAATATCCCAAAAATCAAGAACCAGATTTTTCTCAGAACTAGCAGTTGGAGAGCTTATCAGTCGACTGACGGGCGGCGCCAGTCGACTGACGGGCGGCGCCAGTCGACCGATGAGCTGATCGTTAAGTTCAAATGCCAGCTTTTCAGTCGACTGATGTAAACTTATCAGTCGACTGACATGGTCAGTCGACACATCAGTCGACTAAAATGGAGCAGAGGCTAAATGAAGATTCCAGCCATATTTTTCAGTCGACACATCAGTCGACTGATCACAAGAAATCTGCCAGAATCAGTTCTGAAGATGATTTTTGAAGCTATATTAAAAATAGCAAATAATTTTCAAAAAATATAAAAATTTGGGGAAATTTTATGAACATGAATATGAACATGTTGGAAAAAGAATTTTTCAAATAGCTCTTCCCATTTGTAAAAACATTTGAATATGCAAAAAGGCTAAAATACATGTTTTTCAAAACATGTTGTTTTTGTCATTTTGGTTCAAATCAACAAATGAAAACTTGTATATACTTTATATGGGCATAGTAAAGGATATTAACATAATTTATATGACCCAAAACATATTTGAATGTATTTTGCATAAAAACCTTTGTTTTAATGAAAAATTCATAAATGATGTATGTGTGTGTATTTGAGCTCATAGAATGTCACACAATATATAAACCTATACTAAGTATACCATGAAGAATTCTTCTAAAGCCTGGGCTTGAATTGACTAGAGATGTGCATGGCTTCAATAAATGAGTTGTATGTCAAATTCTTGTATATACCTGTATATGCTAAAACAACACTAAACAAGATACTGGAAACAAGATCAGTGGTAAATTATTTGTTAAAGCATCATCAAAACAAGAGGACTCAACATAGTGGAGCTGCTTCATATTTTGGGTTGTGTCGGATATTTGGTTGCCCAGTATTTGGTCACATCGAGGATATGAGATTTGATCCTATTGCACGTTTGGGATCCATAGGTTCGTTTGATTATCAGTTAGGAGCTTCTGATTTTGTTCTGAGCAGGTATGTCACATTTGACTCTCAGCAAGTGAAGAGTGTTGATCAGATCATTGGGATATCACAGCTGGTGGAGGGTGATGCTACTCACATTAGATAGAGATTTCTCTACATACTCCAGATCATATTGCATCGTTTGTGATTCTAGCTGAGGTGATACAGTTTGGAGATCATTTGGATTTGGATGCAGATGATGAGTTAGTTTTGAATTCGAGTGCAGCTAGTGGACATGTTTTGGATACGGCCATTGGTTCACATCAGGTAGAGGTGTTTGATTTGTTTCAGTTTAGGGCCATTAGGAGCGCTATCAGTTGCAGATCCGTTGGTGATATTGATGAAGAGTTGTAAACTTTTCTATTTGATTGAGGGTCTTTAGAGGCCGTTTGGGTGAACTACGTGAATGCTTGATTCCTTGGGCAAGAGGATACGTAGGCAGTCATTTATGATGCAGCCGGTTTGGTGAGTTGATACCGATATTTAGAGTTTGTTCGCATTCTCGTTTGGGTTCTCGACTTGTTGTGGATTGAGTCCGTTGTCGTAGATTTGTTCCACTTCGTACTGGACGCAACAAGTGAGACGTTTGGTTGGTATTGATGTCGGCTCAGTTTTGAGAAAACTTCGTCGAGATAGAGAATTGTTGGATAGTAGGTTCCTAATATGTTTCCTAATTTGTTTTGGTAACAGGCTATTGGGATTCCTAATCTGTTTTTATAATATGATTCCAAATCTGTTTTAGTAATAGGTTATTAGGATTCCTAATCAATATTGTTTTTTGTTTTAGAATTCCTAGTATGTTTATGATTTTAGGATTTATATATATATAGAACAATTCGAAGAGAGAATTGAGAAGGAAATTAAGGATATTTGGAGCATAGAAAAGAGGTATTTTCCGAGCTATTGGTTAGGGTTTTGTTTGGAGAGAATTAGAGATTTGTTGGTGAGATTAATTGGTGAGTTTGAGTGATTTGTAATATCAGTTTGTACTCTTCTTCTCTATTAGTAAAAAACCCTATCCTCTTCTTGCCCCGTGGACGTAGGCAACTTGCCGAACCACGTTAAAATTGGTTGTTTGTGTTTGTGGTATTGATTTTGTTTGTTTGGTCTTCTCTCGACGTTCGTTTGATTTGATTTCTCGTAGCACGTTGGTTTGGTTGTTTGGCTTCCGCATCGCTCAACAGTTACAACATTTGTCATTTGTAATTCATAATAAAGAAATAAAAATGAAATTGTGAAATGAATTTTTTTTATACATGTAACTCTTGAGATCACCATGATTATTTGTAAACTTCAACCTATAATGCCTACAGTAACAGATGAGGATTAATTCTAACTTTTTCAATAAAAGGTCATACTCCTATTTCTGACCCGGGGACATCTCCATCTTAAATTTGAATTGATGTTTGAGGTAATTTCTTGATGCCCATAGTTATTAATAAATAAACTTTTAATATGGAAGAAAGTGGTGAATTTATTTTTAATGCATTCACGTATACAACTATATTTTAACGTAAACGGGTTTGTGATGATGATGAGAGTTTGCTCTCTATGTTGCCAAAAAACTAAACAGACTACATATTAATTAATTCATTTAATAACATCATAAACTCCTTTTGTGTATTGCTAGTTTCATTTGTGCAAACTAAATTATAAAAAAGAAAAAAGAAAAAAAGGCTCACAAGTAAAAGTGCATAATTCAAGAAAATAAAATAAGGTGCTAGATTGACAGAACTTATACATGGGATTATATCCAACGAACAATTTTTCAAAACCGACTGAAATTTTTTTTTTTTTTTCAAAACCGACTGTTTTTTTTTTATTTATCAAAATCGACCCGGTTTTGTGATTAGCAGGCTAATCACTATCCTAAATAGTCGGGGTTGGCAACCCCGACTATTTAGGATAGTGATTAACCTGCTAATCACCCTTTAATTAGGGTTTAACACCCTCCTAAATAGTCGGGGTTGCCAACCCCGACTATTTAGGATAGTGATTAGCAGCCTAATCACAAAACCGGGTCGATTTTGATAAATAAAAAAAAAAACAGTCGGTTTTGAAAAAAAAAAAAAAAAATCAGTCCGTTTTGAAAAATTGTTCTATATCCAACTCCAGGGTGAAAAAAAAAGGAAAAAGAAACTAGCTAATTCTTTTGAATGTACGGGTTGTTAAATAGATTGTGTATTAGATAATGGTCGCAAGACTATTTGATTCAGTTACTTGACGGTTTGAGTACGAGGATTCTAAAAAAAATCAAGAAAAAGTACAGTGTAGACATTTTATGAGTGAAGAGATAAAAATGAGTCGGTTTCTGTATATTAAATTATGAAAATTAACTTAACAATCAAATTTCAATCCCGGTAACGTATGGAAAGATAACAGAGGGATCGGCGCGCGGGAGATTTAGTGGTTATTTTGGAAAGCTATCACGATTCCGCGATCTCCTCTCTCTCTCTCTCTCTCTCTCTCTCTCTCTCTAAAACAGAGAGTCTTTTATTAGCCATCACTCTTGTCGCTTCCATTCATCTCCTCCTACTGTTTCTCTCTTCTCTGCTCAAAGATTTCATCTTTTTCTCTCTCTTCTTCTTAATCTTCTAATCTCTACTGAGTTGAGCTGGGGGTTTCAAGATTTTAGCTGGGTTTTCTGGGTTTTGCTTTGATAACTTGGGGACCAAGTAAGTGCTTCTTTTCATCTTGTTGATACCAAAAAGCCATTTTTGTCCTTTTCTGAGATGTTTCTGAGATGGGTTTTCATTGAATACTTGATTTTTCCTGAGATTTTAAGATATGGGGTTTTGATGTTTTGATCAGTGAAGATGGTTTTTGGATGAAAGTTGTATTTTTTATGATCTTAATTTCTGCACCTGGTATATTTAAGTTAACTGCTCAGCTGGGTGATAGCTCTTTTTTACAAGGTTACTTGGTGAACAAGTAAGCAATGGAAACGCTAGTTTTTTTTAATTATTTTGCATTGTTTTATGATCATCGCCCCATTGTTCATAAGATACAATTCTTAACAGAAAGAAGCTATTTTTCGATATTTCTGATCTTTTTTTTGGAGTTTTGAACTTGTTTATCTTTCAATCTAAAAGTGCTCTGTTCTCTATTTTTCAGCTGTTTTCTTAGATGGGATATTTTATTATAATTATTTTTTCCAGCTGAGATATCCATCTATTAGCTGAGTGATAGTCTATTTTTTGTTGTCACTTTTTTTTTTGTCCTTTTTGTTGCTCAGATCACTTGTTCATCAAGCATTGCAAGAAACTATGTTTTAATAATTTTTGAGCTAATTTTTTACAATGTAATTAAAGTTTCTCTGCCAGTTTCTATAGTCGTTTTGTGAGATATATTGAATGCTGAGCATTTGAAGGATGCTGTTGATGGGTTTAACAAGATCTCTAATAGTGATTTGTAACGGAAATTTTTTATCTTTTTCCAAACTTTTTCTGTTGAGAGTTCAATCCATCAGCTTGATCTTTTATATATCTTGGATTTTCCTTGATGTGCTTATGTCAATAATAAACTACATTTTCACTCATGTTTTCGGCTGAATGGTTCGATTCTTCAGATAGGTTCTGTGCAGATTTTTTAATGGAAAAGAAACAAGAATTCATGCAAGTTATTTTTTACCCCAATGTGGTATGCAGAAAAAAATATCATTTCTTTTTAGTAATTCTTCAGCTAGTTTCTTTAGTTTGTATTTAGAGGTTGAGTCCCATTTAGCTATCCAGCTTCTTTCACTCTGCCTATTTCAAAAACCATTTCCCCCCTTTAATTGTTGTTTAAATTGACAGTTTTGACCCCATAAATTGACATTTTATCAACACGTTTTTACTTGGGTATCAATCTAACAATAAAATAATAAATCAAACGGTTCCACGGAATTTGGTAGAAAGACGGCAGAAACTTCTGATTTCTGAAGCTACTTTCTGATTTCTTTACTATTAGATTCAGATGTGGGGTCATATCAATATAGGGTTTGATAACAGGTCTTATTAACGAAGAGCTGTGTGTTTCATTCCTTTCAATTTGGGTGTCAATTTATTTTCTATTAAAAACATTTAACTTTCAGCTCTCAAAATGCTCTATTAGCTTAAGAAACTGACAGTGATGAACAAAAAGAAGTTATGCCTCCTTCTAATTAATATGAAACTTAGCATTTGATATTGAAACTTAGCATTTGATATTGAAAACTTGGTGTTTTTCTCCTTGTTTGTGTTTCAAATTTTATGCAAATTAAGAGACTTTATCCTGCTATCATTTATGCTTTGTTATCTCAATTACTTAATTTAATAACTGATGAGGGGAGTAACAGACACAAGCTACTGCAGAAGTCTTATTTTTTTTTTTCACTCAGTTTTTTTCATAAAATTGGACTGAGAGCTTTCTATCAATGGATTTCTAATTGACATATTATGGCAAAAGAGTTTCTCTTGTTCAGTTTCTTAACTACAATTTTGTCATAAAATTTGTAGCTTTCTGAAGCTCAAAATGAGAGCAATGCAGCAGAAGGAAGCCAGCAATAAGAAAGCTGATTCAGAGGTGAATGGATCTGTCTCAAAAATGCATGAGAAAGATTATAATGAAGAAACATCTTCTGATGTGACCGAGTCTAACTCTGGAAAATCCCAGCAAGCAATTGAGAGCTCTGAAACCAACAATTTAAACATGATCACTTGTCCAGAGTGCCCAAAGATTTTCCCCACCCCAAAAGCTCTCTATGGTCATCTAAGGTCTCACCCTGAAAGAGCTTATCGGGGCGCAAACAAACCGGTCAAGAATCTCAAGCGACGATCCAATCAAACCTCGACAGTCACAAACTGGCGACGATCCAATCCAACCTCGACGGTCACAAACTGGCAACAATCCAATCCAACCTCGACGGTCACAAACTGGGGCTTACGCGCAAAGAGAGGGCGAACTACTCCAGAGGAATTTGCTGCACAGACCCTGTTGATTATTTCTGAGACTGTAGTCATAGTGCCTGTCAAAAGACCAGAAGAATCTCCTAAGGGATCAAAGACCTACCAATGCAATATTTGTGACAGAACTTTTGCTAGCCACCAGGCATTGGGAGGTCATCGAGCTAGTCACAATAAGAAAACTGAGCCGCATGAGGGAGTTACAGAGAATGGAGTTGTTCAAGCTGATGCTAGGGCTGCGACTGCAATTGAGCACAAATGCAAGGTTTGCAGCGAGGTTTTTGCGACGGGTCAGGCTCTTGGTGGGCATATGAGAAGACACTATAATGGACCTCCTTTAACCGGGAATGCTTTGGAGAATGTTGGGAATGCAAATGAGAATGAGAATGTGGAGAATGTTGAAAGAGGAAATCGCGGGTCTCGCCTGTTTGATCTCAATGAGTATCCTCCACAGTTTGAAGAAGTATACGGAGCTGCAGTTTGAAGTTTTAGTATTAGTTGGAGTTCTAGCATTTTTTTTTTCTTTTCCCCCCTAGGTTTGGAAACTAGTGAGAAAAAGGAGGAAATAGGGAAAATTTTGGTTTCCTTCTTTTCTAGTAAATTCTTCTTTAGGTCTTATTTAGAAGTTGTGCATGCTAACAGTTGCTTGTGAATGACAGATTCTAGTTTCTAATATGAGAACATGAATATACGCTCACTTATTTTGCCAGTATATGGGGTCTATTGTTACAGCCATTTTGATATCTGGAGAAGCTATTTGTGTTGTTTTAGGTATTGATTATTATGTTACTCTGAAGTTTATTTTCTGTGTAAGTAAAGAAATATTACTGACTACTGTCATCCTTCCGTCTGGATTCTTAAAGGAAACTGCTTGTTCATATACTTTTGTAATCCTGCAAGTTTAAACTTTTCATAGATCATTTGACTGTAATGATGATATTGCCCAAATATATAAAGTAAATTTGTAGATTTAATACTAGAGCTACCGCAAGTATAACAGAGGGAAAATGACCTGCCTATTTATTATTTAAGAGTCGGTTTCTTTTTCTGGATAGAAAAATTAGAGAAGGCTAACGCATCTTTGATTAATGAAGTCAAAATCAAAACGAGTACCAAATGGAGGGATAACCACGAAAATAATTTAGGAAAAATTCTTATTACAAAATTCGAAAGATCTCTGTCAAAAGACTCACCAAAGCATGAACTGTTAATTAGTCAGGATCCTCACCCTCTCCAGAATAATCCAATTTTGGAACCCACTTGGTAGTTCGTTTGAAGAATTATTTGTTGTAAACTTTGGACTGTACTATAAAGTCTTGTAGCTTTTTCTAGCTCACAAGTTTCTCAGAAAGCTCTCTTTGTTGTTGAATGGTCTAATTTAGTCAGAATCAGGGGTCTTTTCCATTGTCAAATTTGAATGTATATGAAGACTTATTTAGTTGTCACTAGGACTCATAGTGATGAATCTGATTACAGTTAATGTTGGGCTTTAGAACTCAACACCATCACATACGGCTCCAAGAGCTAGAATATTGGATACTTGGAGATTATTTATATAGCCATAAAAGGTTTCATCTTTTCAGATGAATTTGAGTTATAATACTTTCATCTTCTTCATGAAAATATTTCTTCTGCTCCATCACATTTCCTAATCACCTTATTATTATTATTATTATTTGCTTCTGGGAAGAATCTACTTATGATATCAGCCCCAACAAAAAAGAAAGAAAGATTTAAATAAATTTGCTTAAATTACTCCTGATATTCATTTATTCACTGAAGTCTTCATGTAGATGCTATATGGGCATTTTTAGTATAAACTAACAGAGATTCTAACATTAACATATTTAGCAAATATAACACATCCTTTATTTAAGAAATAAATAAGATAGAATATGACTTCTCGTATAAAGTAAACAAATCATAACACATCGTGTTCATTCTATATTTATTTCTTAACACTCTTTTCTCGTAGAAAAGATTGTAATCTGATTCCATTCCTAGAAAAGAATGTGGTTTCTTTATCTAACCTTTCATGAAAATGGAAAGAATCCTTCCCCTTTTCGCAATAAATCAGAGTTGGCGCAAAAAAAAAAAAAAATACTCAGCATCAATCTTTAAATGGTAATATATCAGCTACGAAACTCAAAACTTGAGGCTGCCAGCTACACATGATCTTTCTTTTCTTCAGAGAACATATATAAAACTCTTTCTAATGAGGAAAAAAAATCAATTTTATCAGTAACATGCAAAGACAATCCTCACATAGGGATTTGTACACAATCATATCACACAAAGTATTACTACACAGCAGAAAATTCTCATGATAGAAATGGAGCAAATGCTCCCATAAGCTATTCCACAATTATTCTCATCCTTATTATGAGCAAAATTCATGTCTAAGCCAATATATAGTACAAGGACATGGAGGAAATACATAAAACAAATGTATCAAGTTGGGGAGTTCTAATAGGTGAAGAAATAACTCACCATTTCCAGGGAAAATCTTACAGAAAAACTTCTGAGAAAAAGCAAAAATTACAAAACAGTTCTCTACTTGTATCAAAACTAAGTGGGTACAAAATCATCGGAAGGAGGGATCATCTGAATCATAAACAACCCCAGCGCAACAAACAAGAGAACAAGCTGAATGAAACAACAGAAAGAATACTTACAGACTTTGTTCTGTAGTTTCAACACCTTTTCAGTTCCTAACAGTTCTTTGCAGTGAGAATCTAATTCCTCTGCTTGATCCTTCAACTTGATGGCCTTTTCCTCGGCATCGTTCAGCCTGAGTAAAGCATGTGCTTGGTCCACAGCCAGAGATTTCTGCTCCTCAAGAAGAGCAATTTGGTCTTCAGCCAGTATTTTCCAACTTTGTGTAGTTCTAGTTATGATCAACAACTCAATTTCTGATTGAATCTTCTTCTTGAATAGGTCTTCAAGCTCAAATTCGAGGTCATTCATCTCTTCAAAGGTCGGCACTGTAGTACTAGATGATTCCTTGCTCGGAAGATGCGTTTGATTGATGATGTCTTCAAGGTCAATTATCTTTAATTCCTTCGCCTTGACAACTGCAGATGCTTCATCCAATTTGTACTGAAGGTTTTCTATCTTATGGTTTAGTTCAAGTAAATGAGCCTCAAACGTTGGGGAACTACTGGCTTCTGTTTCTTCAGATTGGTCATCAAAGTCATTGCATTCTGTGGCATTCCCAATTTCCCCAATCTTTTTTATTTCTGAATAGAAAGAAACCATTAAAAACATTGTTTAGTTATGCAACATCCTTTAATGCAAGACAAACTTGAATTTGCAATCCTAATTATAAGAAATCATCAATAAACAACAGCCAAACTATTAGTCATTCAGATCTGCCATGACAGTGGTGATGCTCATTCTACTAATAAGAAAACGTCAAGACAACATAAGCTTGTCGGCATTTTCTTGTGCAAAACCTTGGGTAGAGTGCATTCGCGGAAGTAAATGGATAGATACGGAGGAAGCTAATCCTGCGGCAGAAAATACTGAGGCTGTGTTTGGAAGCTTGCAACTGGGTCATTTTTGTCCAACTGCAATTGCTTCGTTGCAACTAGATGTTGTAGTTTCAACTACTGCAAATGCCCCTCTAATGATAACTTAATAGCTTAAGCAAATATGAGCATATGTTGCACAAGCAACCGTTGTTTCAACAAACCCAAATTTATTATTAAAGAAATAAAAAATCTCAAAATCATACAGAATTGAAATGAACAAATTTCTTGAAATAATCATTTTGTTGCTAATGAAAATGAACCAGACACCAGAATAGAATCATTTCAGGAAGAATGTTTTAATTGCCCCTCATATAAACATGTAATACTTCAGTTTGCTCCCCTCATATAAACAACATGTATGTACCTCTGATCTCTAATAGGTTGGGATGCCTCGATACCTTGACAACGATACAATTTTTAGCTACCACGCAGCTCTGCTTAGAGCACTAGTCTTCTAACAACAGGTTTGTACTCCATACTAGATGACTGTTACAATCTACTTTGGCTACTCCCGTTTTCAAATAAAAAGAATGAGTTTTCGGATCATTATGTTGAGAATTCAACCAACAAGATAGAAGACTACAATAGTTTCTTTGCAAGATACTCAAGTTCCTGTCCGTCCATTGTGGCCCAGTGAAGCATGGAAACTGTACAATATGATACACATATATTTATATATGTAAGGTATGAAGACAATACTTTTAACTGGGACACCTATATGACATAGATATGGAAAAAATGTTATATATGCACATTGTACTTGATGCATCAAATACATCCGATAAGAACCATATGAATACAAAGTATGGACACAATTCTAAAACGTCACATGTATGCAGCGGATAAGACAATAACAAAATTATACATGAATTTGTAAGGCTAGAAAAACTCAAGAGTGTGACAATTGGTTGCTGCATGTTGTGAATATTTTCAACTCATATAAATTCACATGAATAATAAAATTCCTGACAGAAAAACTGGCCAAACTATGAAAATTAATGTACTATAAATCAAATGGAAATCTGCACCCATCATTCTTATAGTAGATTTTAACTTCTTAGTATCAGAAGTATCTATGATATGTCCTTCAGTACATTTAAGATCTGCTTTGAATTTAGGATATGCCACAAAAGAGTATCCTACATGTATCCATCAAGTGTCTGACTAACACCATTCAGATATGCACTATGAGTAACTTATATCAGTTGAACTTTTGGTAGTTATATGAGTAACTTATATCACACTCAAAAGGTAGTTTCTTGCTTTATGAAGAAACACCACAGAAGGGTCTATGTTTCTTTTTCCTCACAAGGGCCAATGTTAAAAGAGAACAGAGGTATCCACACTATAAATTATAGAACACGATGAGAAAAGTTAATTGAATTTGAATTATGGAGATGCACACAAGATGATAAGAATGAAGCCTATCACAGACCTCGTAGATATATAATATATATATATATATATATAGTATATATATATATAATATATATATATATATATATATATATATATATATATATATAACTATATATATGAGAGAGAGAGAGAGAGACGGAGAGAGAGAGAGAGAAATGCAGGAACTTAGTACGAATGTAAAAGAGAACAGAGGACCTACTATAAATTATAGAAAGATGAGAAAAGTTAATTTGAAATTTGAATTATGGGAGATGCACAAGAGGCGATAAGAAGAGCCTATCAGCAGACCTTTAGGATATAATATAAGTATATATATATTATCATAGTATAATAGATATATATGAATGAAAGAGAGAGAGAGAGAGAGAAAGAGAGGGAGAGGAAAAAAAAGAGAAAGAGAGAGAGAGACGAGAAATGCAGGAACTTAGTACCAAGCACAAATTTTAATTTGTGCTTGGTAGTGGGTGTCTCATTCTCATTCACTCTCCAACCTATGTGAATGTGGTCCCCCATTTGAGTGAGTGGATGAGAATGATCTACCTCACTACCAAGCACACAAAGTTATGTTTGGTACCAAGTTCCTCTATATTGCATGCATGCATAAATAAATAAATACACGCACGCGCACACGAGCGCACGAGTGTACACATGCAAGCGCACCCGCACGCACGCGCACGAGCACACACACACACATGTAGGGCAGAGCCAATAAGGACCCAACAAGGTCCTGGCCCCCTGAATAATAGGGTGTTTTTTTTGCTACTGCTCCCTTAAAATCTTCCATTTTTTGAAAATTGGCCCCTCAAATCATGGAAATTGCAATTAGGCCACTCACTCAATTCTTAAGTTATTTTAAAATTAGCCCCTAAAATGTTCCTATTAGGTTTCTCAATTCTAACTTATTTTGAAATTAATCCCTCCAATCGTTACTAGAAGTAGCAATTCCAGGGATTACAAGTGATACCTATCGTTGTGGACTATCAGCCCCTCCAATTCTCACAAATTTTTTTCCCAAATTTAATCTCTCCAATTGCTATTTATATTCTTGAGTGGAGGAACTAATCTAAAAATAAGTCAAAATTTGACGGACCTAATAGCAATTTCTATTATTTGAGGGGTTAATTTCAAAATATGAAAGATTTATGGAACTAACATAGTGACTCAATTATGGAAAAGTTTTTTAAAAGAGGTCGAATATCTTCTACTCTCGTAGGTGAGAATTAACCTTTTTTGAT